CCGACAAGTAGTGGAGGATCTAAGGTGACCAAGGAAAACGGAAGATGCAAGATCTAAGGCTGAGCTAAGGTAGAGAGGAGATAAGGCAAAGGCGCAGTGATGAAATGCGGCAAAGGTGCAAAGCTGAGGCAAAAAAATTAGATATAGATATCATATTAATCGGGACAGGATAAGACATCCCGATGGTGAGCCTGAGTCCTGTCCCGTCCTAATTTTTTTGGGCTAGGATATACCTATCTTGACATAATCGAGATGAGTACAAAAAAATCAGGATGAGTACAACTTAAATACCCCTATATATAATCAACACATATAAATAGACAAAACAAATAAAGAAAAGGCTTAACAATGGGAGGAGGGTGAGAGATTTAGATTACAGTGGTGGTGTTAAGTATATGGCATGTACTTGAAGCCGGAGGGTTCAGCAGGAGCGTGGAAATGAGGAAGGACATGGAGTTTAAGATAATCTCTCTAGAAGAGATTTTTGTCAACCCTAACATGGAAGCTTGTTTTGCATCGAACGGTATCAAATACATGCCCTCCTGCGTATTCTCTTTTTTAATCCTCTATCAGGTTAAAAAACCTCTTGCTTCCTCTCACCACCTCTTCCATCAATCTCTTTGAGACCCTATGATTTAGTAGCTGCACGTGCACATACATATGCATGAAACAACCAACTCACGCAATATTAGGTTATGATATAATTATGTATGTAGGTACTTAAGGGACAGGTGAGTGTGAAAGTGATAGAAGGAGTGATGATACCGTAAATGGTGGGGTTGAATAAGGAGGTGAGGTGGGAAAAGTCAATGGTGGTAAAAGCTGGAGCGTCAAATTCAGATACTATGAAATGCTCTGGATTCTGAAGGCATGCATACCTAGAGGGTATGGACGTCACGCAATAGGACTCAACCAGACTTTTGACACTGAACATCTTTGCCGAATTTTGATCCCTCTTGGCACCTTTAAGGATTCCCTGTACTAAAGCACCAGTGATCTATTGCATGGTGTATAGTCATCTTCTGGGAGCACTCACGAGCTGGGCTGCTATTTTATATACACAAGCGGCACATGATTCAGTGAGGCATATTTTCAGTCTTTTTTTCGCTGCTCTTTAGAAAATTTCAATTTAAAAAGATTAGATGATGAAGAGGTTATGGCAGTGGGACAAAGGGCACATGGGCTTGTCATTTGAGAGATTATAAAGAAGTAATGCAGGGAAAGCGATGTGCCACCCAAGTAAAAGAGAAAGGAAAGCAGAAATTACCAATAGGGATATATAATGATGAAATTAGTTACATGTCAACTTTTGAAAATACTCATAAAAGTAATGGTCCTTTTTTTTATAATACAGAACAATTAGGAATTAATGGCAGATGATTGAGTGATGGGGGTAGGAAAATGAATGAATAAGCAGGCATAGAAGGGAGAAGGGGAATGGCACAATGGAAGTCGAAACGTATGCATGTACAAGGGTGTTTAAAAGCATTCAAATAGCATAGTTTCTGCTATTATATAGTATATAGATCACCAACATGGATGATTGCCCTAAAAAAATAGCTCACACTATATATACTAGTACTGCAATTTCCAAGTGAGGGATGGTAGCATTAATGCAGCATTCCCGATATAATAGAATTGCAGTGTTAGAGTTTATGCGGTTATCATGAATAGGGAGGGATGATTACAAGTACAAATACAATCACAATTAATTTGGGGCAGTGGAGCACAGCATTAGAGGTGATAAATGTCAAATAATATTGATGAGGTGATAAGTGAGTCTGAAGATGAGTAAACAAAAGGGTAGGCTGGCTTGGCGCACCAATTCATGGAAGGGATGGGCACCTCGTTTTTGTTTGGTGATTGTGTGATTCTTGGAGGAAGAGGAATGGATCCATGAATATGATATAGTGATATACAGCACGATGTGACTCCACTCCTCAGATTCGTGCGTGGTTGCCTGGCACTTTGACAAAAGCTAATGAACACACCAGCTACTATATCCCTTAAATGCCCTTATTTACGTCAAATCTCCCTCCATTACCCGAATGTCTTATCCATTCGTCAAGCCCAACATCGTCTTGGATTCATTCTTATCATGGAGACTCAATTAGCCACACCAAGCTCAGCCTTTAATTTCTAGTTCGCCCACAACTCCCCACCCCGGGTCTCTCTCTTGCAACACTCATGGCTTCTAAACTCAATTTGCACCAACTTTTCTTCATGATATATATCTGCTCATTTGGGGTGGGTGGGGGGAATTCAGATTTCCCTCCCCTTTCCCGCCCCATAAAAATAAACATGAAATTGATTTGTTTATTTTAAATGGACAAGCGAATAAACTTACGAGAGAATGACACACGTGTTTTAAAAGAATCAATTAATTTAATTTAGATCCAAATGTTAAACTTTAAAAATTTATAAGTTCGACTCTTAATTTTATAATTTTATTATGATGAATTTGTAATTTATTTTTTAAATTTTAACATAATTGAAGAATAAATAAATTTATTTTTCTATTAAAATTTAAAACACAAGTTATAAATTCATCACAATAGAATTACAAAATTTAGAACTGAATTTATAAATTCAAGAAATTTGATACTTAAAACTTAAGTTGAATTAATTAATTCTCTTGAGATATATTTATCATTTTACCTAAAATTATTTTCATAACTAAAAGTAGCTTGTGTGAAACGTGATTAATTTTTTTTTTCTATCACACTCCCATGATTAATTTTGGAAAGTCAGGAATATGATAATTACATTGGGAAGGCTTATCATTCGAAAATTATAAACAACTTTGATTTTACTTTGGTTCGGTTGGATTTTTCCCTTTCTACTTAAAAATTGTACGGTTTCATTAGTTTATTTCAATTTTATATGCTTTTTAAAAAGATTTGTTACCTTTCAATTGTTGATTTTTAGAGCATACATAAATGCACAAATCTCTTTAAAACCCCCAAACTCCAAAAAAAAAAATTCAAGACATTTTTTTTCTATGGCACAAAACCGTTAACTAACTAAACTAGTCAAGAACCGATAAATCGGTCAACAAATTAGAAAAACTAGAAAAAGTGACTGGGCGAGTAGTTCAAGCAGTTCAAGAGACCCAAGCTGAAAAAAGAAGAGGGGAGCCGAAGGAAGAGGCTTAGAAAAAAGACGAAAATGAAAATGAAGAGGAAAAAAAATCACCAAAAATCAAAAAAATAAGATATTTTACAGTAAACCTCCCCTTGGATGTGTTTTTCCAGTTACAAAACTATGTGTTCGGCCATGAATCATCTGATGCGAAGAAACTCAAAATCTCGCACTTACATATATTATTATATTATATTATTAATACATTAAATAGAGCATGGAGTAAGGAAGCACTGAAGCAGCGACCGTCGTGATAATGAAGAGGAAAAAAAAAAAAAAAAGGTAAAAAGGAGTGACAAGGGGGGAAGACTTTGACGTGGGAGGAAAATAAAAAAATGTTTCTTATTTATTTCTTGGAGTCAGAAAAGATTAACATAATATCTTTAAATGTTATTTTATGTTTAATAAACAAAATTTTATTAAATGCTATTTATACTATAAAAAGTGAAGTGGATAAAATAAAATCTATTAAAATGTTAGCTTTTATGATTTTAGATGAACTTATTTTATGATATATATATATATATACATATGTATATATATTATTTAAAAATATTAAAATAATCATATCTGATTCAACTCCAGTGAAATCATTAATTTTTGAATCAATAACTCGTCTAATTCAATCACAGATCATGTTTTTAAAACCTTGCTTTTAAGACTTTTTTATTCCCACTAAATCAGACAAAACGCCCATTATTCCAAACTAATGCTAAAAGCCGACGGCTCTTTTAGTGAGAACGCAATACGAGTACAATTTGGGTCATGGTAAAAAATTATAAGTAACTCCCGAAATAAATAGCCAACAAAGAAATTGCATGGGAATGTACAGACCTATGTTCTGTGGTATACAAAATCCTTAGAATCCTGTTTGGTGTGAAGGATTGGGAGGATAAGACTGACATTAAAATTTAGTAATCCTATTTTTTTATGCTTGGTACAAAGAATAAAGCATTTCAATCCCTGTACCAATACTATCTTACATGGGATGACTTGGCACCATTGCCCTCCCCCCAAGTATTGCAAAATTAGTCTAGGGATTGATATTTCTAAGACAAAAATACCCTTTCAACCTCTCCACCTCCCTCCCTCCCATCGAAATGAATCCCACACTTTGTCCAGATCTTGGTACTGGGATTGTAGAACCTATGCTTCGACCATAGGTTCTTCTCGTCCAGATGGGCCGGAATGATGTTGACGACCTGCAGAAGCAAGCTTTAATGCTCACACGTGGGATTAACTCTAGTGTTCAACCCATTGAGGAGCTTTAGAAGATGCATCGCAAATCATCTCCCTCCCTCCACTTCTCCATCTCGTCAGAAGTCGTTCGTGGCGCCATCTCCGTCGCATCTCCGTCGCAAGTCATCTCCCTCCCTCCATATGATTTGATGACAGTTCTGAGATCCCTTTTAAATTAAGTCTGAGATATGTCTAGATTTAGATGGACAAGACTTTCGTTCTAAATTTTTTTTTTTATTGGTTGATGATAAGGGCCATAATAGTCTTTTGACAATTTCTTATTGAATATTTATTAGAAATATTCCATCCAAATATTACTCCATACTAAATATATTTTTAAAATCTCAGTCCTAATTTTAATTTCAATCTATTGAAAATCATACTTTTATATCAAATAGGGCTTAAGTATTTTATGTTTTCTAAACTTTTCAGCGTTCAAATCAATCCCCCATGCACGCCAGTTTCAAATGTAAAATAAAATAAAAATGAAAAATTTGTATAAACTCTGGACACCACAAGTCTTTTTTTTTTTTTTGGGCCTAAACTCCACACCCAAAGTTGGCAAGCCCAGAGAACGAGATGAATGTAGCTAATCTATGGTCTATCGAAGCGTCTAGGTCTCACTTGGGTCTGGACATAACCGATCCGTTGATCTTTCTTCCAAGTTTTCCGTGGCTGCATGGTGCCTCCTGCTGCTCTCCCTCCACGAACTCGAAGCATTCCTGTGGATGAAGCCCCGACCAGTGATCGGGCCGCCCCTCCCTCCTGAACCGCTCGAAACCGGCCAACCGCTCCCGGCCACCTCCACTTCCCGCGCTTCTCGTCCTGTAACCGCTTCTCTCACTCCTCAATCTCTCCAATGCCGGGTGCAGAAGCCCCTTCCTCACCTCCTCCGGTAATCTCAGAGTAAATCTCTCCCGATCCTCCCCAGCCGAAACCAGCGAATGTCCAGTCGAGTGTGATCGAGGAAACAAGATCGCTGTTCCCGACCTCGGAGGAGGATTGTGGTTGACCATATCTCTGTTCTTGGAGGGTGATTCTACCAGTTGTTGATCACGTTGGATGATATCGCCGGCGTGTCGTTGTAGCTCAGATTCGGCGGGAGATTCGGGCATCTGAACCGCGACGAAGGAGACTTCGCCTAGTCTGGGAACGAGGTTGGCCCGACAGACGGGGCACGTAAAGTGAGAGGACAACCAGAGGTCGATGCAACCGGGGTGGAAGACGTGACTGCACTTGGGAATGAAACGCAGAGTTTCGTGGTCCTGAAACTCGTTCAAGCAGACGGCACATTCCAGGGAGCTCCTCCCAATTTTCAGACCCTTGACGGAGGAGTAGACGAGAGTAGGGAAGGTGCGGATGATTTCGGGGTCGAGGCCGCGGGGGTGGCGCTCGCTGCTCCCGCTAGGAGGAGCAAGGGGGTCGGTTCCTCCATGGAATCGTCGCTCCGAACATTGACGAGAGCAGACGGAGAGGAAGCCCAGTGCGAAGAAGACGACGAGGAGAATGACCAGAACAATGGCCATGGATTTATCGAATCGAACCTGGGATGGTGAGTCGAGAGGCGGAGAGGAAGGAGGGGTAAACGTGAGCTGTGCGAAGGAAGGGAAAGAGGAGCGAAGGAGGAGGAGGAGGGAGAGAAGAAGGGCGGCCATGGTCAGGAGGAGGAGGAGGAGTGCACCGGGAAACGATGAGCATAATAGCAGACCGTGAGAGCAAGATAGGCTGTAAACGTAGGTATTATTGCTAAATTGCGAGAGGCGAAGCTTGTAACAACATAAGAAAACGTTAACATCTTTCTTTAGTTGAACTGGCGGTGCAGGAATGAAGATTTAAGGTAAAAGAGACGGAGGATATGTTGAAAGGGCCATCGTGAGGTTTGCTACACGAGAAAGGTTGTCAAGTTTTTGGGGTCCTGACTTTTGGAAATCTAAGCCAAGTGTGTGCGCCCCACAAAAGGTTATCTTATAGAAGTAACAATCAGGGAGTTTCCCTTGAGACACGACGTGCGAAGGGGAGCGTCCTTTCCCTAGCTCCGACGACCAAATGAAGTTTGGGAAGTTAGTCAGAGATAGATATTTAAAAAAAAGTTACGCTTAATATAATTATAATAATACAATTTCTCGTTTTGGTGGCTCTTGACTTCGTTGTGCATTTTCTTTTTTCCCTATAAATTGAACGAAATGGAGGGAAAGAGGTAAGGGCTAAACAATTCTAATAAATGTCCGGCGCAGACACACAAACAAGGAAACACCCCCCTCCCCCTCAAAAAACAATAATTAAAAAAAATGAATGGCCTTGTTTTAATTGTTAGAAAGGGAGGGGCTTAGGTATTAATCCTTAATATAGTTTTTCTAACAAATTTAAGAAAGCAAGTTTTAAAATATTAATAATACGATTTTTTTAAAATATAAATATTATGTATAAAAATTACATATATAATATCTTGACTTGATTAGAAACAAATATTTTAAATATAAAAAAATAAGTATATAAATTTTGTCCTTCGTGTAACTTACAATGCATAGAATATTGTTGAATTTCTGGTCGTGACGCTCCAGATAATGAGAAGACTACAAAAATGGCTCCATTGTGCATAACGAAAGGATAAAATTGTTTCTCGCTCTTGTGTCTTCTTCCATGCATCCACTCCACCGTCCCATTAATTTTCTTTTAACCTAATAATCATGTCTCACCACCTGTGCCAAGTTCATTATAAAATGTCGATTTTATTTTCATGGGTCTAGTCGTCTGTGCACCCCGTTTTTACTGAGCTATAATTTATATTGGATCCAGATTATTATTTGATCTGAGTATATATTAAGAATTGTTCATGGTTGAATAATCAATATCAGGAGTACCAGAGACGCTAAGTCTCAATAGATAACGAAAAGGGTCCTGAATTCCCTTACCACAATTCACTTGGATGTAAATAGATAGAAAGCTTTGGTAGAACAAGTGTATAATTTTATTGAAATGTAGAAGATTACAGACCAAAAATTAAGAATTGAAAAGGACTAATGAATGTAAAATGTGCGAGTCTTGATTGATTGTTGACTAACTTTCTCTATTTTTTTTTCTATTTATAATGTTAAATAGTGGAAGCCCTTTCCTTGGGATTTAGCACGTTCTGCTGAAAAATTAAGAATCTCACAAAACTTATGGCACGGTCTTTTCATTTTGATAACCAGCCCATTTCGCCGAACTACTTGGGTGTAAATTTCAACATTACTTAAGATTGTATTTTTGTGCCAACAGTCTAATATCTGCAGCTGACGAGATTTCAACACTTGTTGTAGACTTTATTGAGCTTCGGGGCTGGTCTTTTTTGTTTATATTGGGCCTGACACTTTAATTACTCAACCCAATCGGCTTTGTGATCTATTTGAACAATGCTTTATATTTAGCCCAAACAAGATTATACAATGACTTTTATTTAAGCGTAATCCAATCCTTCGTGTTAAATCCAACTAAACAATTCAGCCTCAAATTTTACCTATTCACTAAACTATCCAGCGTTAACCCAACTCTTCAAGGTTTGAACTGATATTTAATGGCAATAGTAACCATTCATAATTGTATTTTTTTTTTTTATGTTGCCTTTTGGCTGACTATGTTTAACACATAACTACTCAACTATTTATATCCGCCCTTCCTCCCACGAGACTCTCTAAAAAATTATAATGGGGGAAAAAATGATCTTCATTAATAAGGTGTTCTTATTTTTGTTTGCCAATGCAATGACTCTGCCCATTCATCTCTTTCCAATAGATACTAATTTGGGAGCTGAAGATATCACAGAATTTTCAGCGAGTTGTGATCCGAATATTCCAATTGTTTTATTTTGCAAGCATACATTGAAACCAACATCATGATATACTGTATTGCAACCAATTATAACACCTTCTAATTATTCTTGCTTTGATTTTTCGGGTCTCTTTTGTGGAGACAAGTGTGTGTAGGAGTGCTGGCTTGAGTAAGCAAACTGCCGGTGCAATAACTACGGATGCTGATAATGCTGAACCAGGGAGTTTAGGTGTATCTGGCCTTAACATTAACGAAGTTGAAGCCATGTGGACCGGCTTTAATTGGTACGTTAATATTGGCTCTAACCATTTTATCATTGATCCTGTTTGCTTTCCACTAGTGCAGCCTGTGAAATGGATGCATGCTTGCCGTGAGGGGAATAGTTTGACACTAGTAAAGCCTTTTATTTTATATTTTTTAATCTTGGAGGAGGGTTGATAAGCTATTTCAATTTCAAATGGGTCATAAGACAATTATTGCCATTGTGGACTAGATTGCTCGTGCATCTTTTGAATGATTGAGATTTAAAATATAATTAATTTAATCCAAACTAAAATTCAAAATTTAGTATTATAATTAAAAAATTAATTTTATAAAATATTAAATCTCAACTATTTAAAAATAAATTCAATAATTGAGATAGATAGTGAAAAAGAAAGAAAGAAATGGAGAGAAGCCACGTCTTTCAACGAGTTGGTTTCAATATCTCCTTCCCATGTAACATCTACCCTGGGCCCTAGCACATTAGAACCTTTAAGACTTGCTTTTTTTTTTGTTTTTTTTGTTGGACTTGTATTTTTGTGTTCATTTCTATTGCTGTTTGTGATTTTTGATTTGTTTTTAGGGTAAAGATACAAATTTGGCCATAAATTATTTTTTAAACAGCATCTGATAGCCTAAACTATCAGATGGTGCAAAATAAATTACGAACTTTTGAAAACAGAACATCCAGTAGCTCGCCATTAACTTAAGTTAACAGATATTATGTGGGGCCTACAATGATACGTGACACAACACAGACGCAACACATCAACATGGTAAAGGTGCAAATTTAGCCAGGAACTATTTTTTGAGGAGCGCGGGGTAGCCTCTACTATAAAAATGAATCATCCAATACCTTCTCCTCAATTTTAACTAAATATCATTTATTTTCATATTTATGAGGCCCAAAAAGCATTAATCTCTCCAATCTTTTTGCCTTCATTCTCAACATAAGCTCCAGAAGAAGAGATTCAATGAGTTTTTATCTGAAGACACTCACAAAGACAATGCCAATGAAGTAGAAGCTTGATTTTACTATGCATGAGAAAAGCTTGATTCTAGTTTAATTTAGTCATGAATTATTTTTTCTACTTTGTTAGCATCGTCTTCATGAATATCTTCAAATAAAAACTCTTTGAACCTCTTCTTCTCGAGTTGAAATTAAGAACGAAGGCAAGAAAATGTAGTGATTAATGCTTTATGTGCCTCATAAGTATGAAAATAAATAGTATTTGGTCAAAATTGAGGGAAAGGTATTGGATGATCCGTTCTTTTATAATAGAGGCTACCCAATGCTCCTCGAAAAATAGTTTGTAACTAATTTGCACATTTACTATGCTGATGTGTCACGCTTGTGTCGTGCCACATGTCATTATGGGCCCCACATAATGTCCGTTAGCTTAAGTTAACGGTAGGCTACTGGATGCTCTGTTTTTAAAAGTTTGTAATTTATTTTGCACGATCTGATAGTTTAGGCTACCAGATGCTCCTTAAAAAATAATTTGTGATCAAATTTGCTACTTTACTCTTGTTTTTATTATAGTTGTTTCTTCCTAGGCCAAAAATATTGTGAATATGATATTAAAAAAACAAATTTGTGCGGGAATAGCTTGCAAGTATCATGAAAATTTTGATATTAAGATTTTAAGTAACTCTATTGAGACGAAAGGATTTCTTCTCTAGGACACGACTTAATTCGCGCTTTTGAATTTTAACGTTGGCCCTTAAAAAAGTCTTCTCGATTGATTGACTGACTGATTTGGAGGATAAAAAAAAAAAAAGGCGGCGTTTCTGCCTTTCAAAGCTTTTATTTTTTTTTTTTGTTTTGAAGTTTTTGGTTTTGCGAAAGTCGGAGCTCGATCACAAAATTGGATATCAGGAAATTGGGCCCATGTGAGCCCAGTTCTATACCCTCGATGTAAAATGCACTATAATCCAGCCCACAGTCCCATTACACCCAACGAGCTGAATTTCGATGTAAAACCCAAGAGGCCCCAATTCATATCTGTTAATCTCTTAAATGCATTTAGAAAGCAATAACTATTATATATATAATGAATGTTAAATTATATATTAAACTCATCCAACCTTTGACCCATGCATGGATAACCCCTTCACATTGTATATGAATAAATTAATGACAGTGAATTGATTTGCATGAATTTTAAACATTTTATTGAGGAGTTCCAAATGTCACTGATGATATTATTAATACTCTCTCTCTCTCTCTCTCTCTCTCTCTCTCTCTCACAGAACAATTATCGAATAATTACTTGTCCGGTGAAATTAAGAAATAATGTTACCCAGACTAAAACAGAACATGACGAGATACATTCGAGAAAGACAAATGAGGGGACAGTGTAATCGTTGACAAGGTCAACGGAAGTGATAATGAATGTAATGAGTGAAAACGGCCGGTTCATTGCATAGAATGCAAGGGGACAAAGGCGATGAGGGAAGCAAATCCCTGAAATTAAGTAAGGAACCCGGTTAACAAAATTCAGGATGACGATGGTTCAGGCTAATTAAGCCAAACATTCCGGGACAAATCTGTCATGTCACTCCAATACTGTACATGTACGTACATTTAAACAAAACTGAATGTCATCGTCTTTTAATCTCCTCGATCTTTTGTTAGAGTGTCAACCGTGATTGTGAATTCGTCAATTTCCAACTTAATCAGCCTTCTGACATCAGTTTTAAAAGTTTTCATTTAAATATTATCGGCTTTTTATTCCCCAGTCATGCATACTTAATAATTGGTTATATATATATATATATATATAGGAAGGTTTGGAATTTATGGGACTGACTTTAATTAAGAACATTCGAGTAACAAGCCTTAAGGACACGTCTTGTGGTTGATCCTAGATGCTTCGAATCTTCCACAATATCAAATTCACATCGCCTTTAACTTGCTTTAAGGTTTGCTCCAATTAATCCGGTAATATAATATTGTCCCAATATTTTTTGTCACATCATTGCAAAGTTGTGAAAAAAAGACTCCACGCTGAGGGGCCCATATCATTCACTATTAAAAAAATAAAATTTAATGAGGTACAAATCTCTTGTTAAATACTATTTTTTAATTAAATTATATTTTAGTGAAGAATTTTATTTTTTTATTAAATTTATAGTTAAAAAAGAGCTCATTAAATTTAGCAAGAGATCATATTTTTTTCACTAATTAGCAAAGATTCAGTCCCTCACTAATTTTTAACAAGGGATGAGAGGGACTAAATCCCTCACTAATCTCTCACTAATACTATTCAAAATTTAATAATTTAGTGAGAGATTAGTCCCTCGCTGATTCCTCGCTAAATATGTGTATATTTAAAAATAGTGATTCCGCATCACCTGCCATATTTACATCAACTTGTGATATGTCACCAAGAATCTTATGCCTCATCAACTGTCATGTCACCTAACATCTAGTGCCCACCGCCACATGTGCGATAACTCATGATATGTCATTGTTCACTTTGCGCCATGTCACTTCTTCTTTACCATATCATATATTCGTTATGTTTATGTTAAAGTTAAGACTTGAACCTTTGACCTTATGCCTTCAATCCTTATACTCTCTTTCTTTGTCAGTTGAACTGAATAGCATTTACAGTCATTATATAAGAAATTAAATATACATTATTTAACTGCATAAATATATCAAATATATTATAAAAATACACACATACTCCCTCCATTTTTAAATATAGGAGAAAATAACTGTATCACACAGTTTAAGAAAAGAGGTTAATAATAATAATTATGTCTGAAAATAAAAAATTTAGACTAAAATATCCTTATATGTAATCTCACTTTTTTTTAATTTATTAATACCATCCATTTAAAGAAAAGTCAACCACCTCCTCTACCACAACAATAAATGCTTAAATAAAACTGAGTGCTAATCTCTATCTGTATTTCTGAAGACATATCGCTCCCTCTCTCATCGAAGACGTAACAATCCCTTTCTCTATTTTCCCATAACATGCACTTTCACGTTCTATATCACTGTCATCGAACACTTTGATAGTAAAATTCAAACGAAAAATAAGATTTTTAAATTGGCGGCAATAAGAAAGCAGGTGTTTTTTTATTTTCAAAACTGGGAACAGCTATTTTTATGGTCTGCATGCATATACAGTTACACATTCAGCCAGTTTTTTTTTTAATTTGCAACTATTTGTGCCTCGTTGATTTGAAGGAAATGCCACTTCACATAGATTTGAATCAACCTCCCTCTCCATTGATGGAGGTATATTTGCTTGAGACATCTCCGACTTCCTCTGTTTTTGTGAAAGATAACAGAGCATCTCTAACTACCTCTGTTTTTGTGGAAGAAAACAGAGCATCTCCTTTGCGTCTGGATTTAAACGTCCCTCAGTTGGATGTAGATGAAGACCATGACAACCATGTATTTTTACAGTCAGAAGATGAGGACGATAACTTGGACGCTGAGTTCTCCATGGATGAAATACATGCTATCACCAGTATTGGTATAATTTGTCTACTTGGTGCCTTAGCCTTCTATTTCGTTTTTGTTTGTGTATTTTTTACTTGTTCATTTTATGCTATAGGAGACGCTGTGGTTGAATAAGAAGGAGAACCAACTACAAAACGAGCATGGTTAAATAATAAACAACGAACAGTCATTGGTCAAATGCTCCTTCATTCAAGTAGAGGAGGAAAACTTGAACCAGGCATTGTAAAATGGATGGCTTCATTATATTCTGTCTCTATACATGTCATTTATCGCATTTGGAATCAAGTGAAGGAAACAGGTGATGCATGTCATAAGAGAACACAAAACTGTGGAAGGAAGAGAGTCCAAGTAGACATTGCTACGGTTCGTGAAGTTCCATTATCAAAGCGGCAAACCATTCGATCTCTAGCACATGCTCTGAATATTAGCACAACAGCTTTGATTAAGTTTATTAAGGAAGGAGAACTTCGGCGACATTCAAATACACTCAAGCCGTTATTGAAGGAGGGGAACATGATTTGTCGTCTTAGATTTTGCTTGTCTATGCTTGAAGAAAGTAGCATTTATGATGATCCCAGGTTTAAATCCATGTATAATGTTGTTCATATAGATGAAAAATGGTTTCTAGTGACTCAGGAATGCACAAACTTCTATCTACACAAAAATGAGGATCAGCCACACCGTACATGCAAAAACAAAAACTACATTGAGAAGGTTATGTTTCTAGCTGCAGTGGCACGACCAAGGTTTGATGAAGCAGGCAACCAAATATTTTCAAGAAAGATAGGTGTGTTTCCTTTAGTTACTAAAGTTCCAGCAAGAAGGACAAGCGTCAATAGAGTAGTAGGGACACTGGAAACGAAACCAATTACTTCTGTCACCAAAGAAGTTAGTCGAAGGTTCTTAATTAATGAAGTTTTACCTGCCATTAAGGAAAAATGGCCAAGAGAAGATGCAGGAAGAACCATTTTCATACAACAGGATAATGCCCCATGTCATGTTGCCGTAGATGATGAAGAATTCTGTAGAGCAGCTTTAGAAGGGGGTTTGATATTCGCTTAACTTGTCAGCCTCCTAATTCTCCTGATTTGAACGTGTTGGATTTAGGTTATTTTAGAGCCATTCAATCTCTCCAACAAAAGGAGGTGACTAGATCAGTTGATGAGTTGATTGAGGTTGTTGGGAGATCATTTGATGCTTTCCCAATAAAAAAATTGAATAAAATATTTCTCACACTCCAGGCATGTATGATTGAGGTCATGAAGTTGAAAGGATCAAATGACTATGGAATGCCTCACTTGGGGAAGGATGTGATGCTTAATCATGGCGGGCTACCCATAACATTACAATGTGATCGTGCCCTGGTTCATGAAGTGCAAGAGTACTTACAAAATCTAGCTACATGATGCTTGCACTGGAACGTTAGGAAAACCAGAGCATTGCGTGATGCTTGGTTATGCACTAGAACTTTTGTCTTTTGCAGGAACATCAGAACATTGTAACTTCAATTGTTTTTTATATCGGCGCTTTTTATTTTTATTTACTCATCTCATTTCATTATTTACCCTTAATTTTTATCCTTATTTTGGACTACTGTACCATTATAATATGAAGAGAGAGAGAGACACACGAAGCAATCTTCCATTTTTAAAGCATCAAATGATAGTGACAAAATAAGAATGAACATGAGTCACTCTGATAAACATACATCCAAAAAAAATGGAAGAAAAAAACAGAAACAAGATGGTAAACCTCTTTCTTCCATGCTTCTCTCATAAACCTAGTATGAATGAGGAAACCATATCTTCAGCATAGTATGAACCTCCTTGTTCAACGCCTCATTTTGATAACCAAAGTCCAGGCCTTCTTCAGGGAACTTGTTCAGGTCAAAAAGTTGCTTATTGTTGGTTTTTCTTATTTCTTCTCCATCATCGTTCTCCTTGTTAAACCTCTTTTCTTCACCCATAAACATGTCTATCACAGAAACTTCATCAGGAAAATTATTCAAGTCAAAGAGATTATTCAACTTGCCACCACTATATGCTACACGATGACCTATGATTGGTTTTCTTGCACTTGTGACCTCCTCCTCCTCACTAGAAAGCATGGTAGGAATCAATCTCATATCCTTCTCCGATGAATCTTTCTCCAACGAATCTTCCACAACAAGATGCGAGAATGTGACCTCCTTCTCCAACGAGTCCTCCACAATGAGGAGTGATAAGTCCAACTGTTCATCTTTCTCCAAGGAATTCTCCAAAGCAACTTCTTTTGAATCTCTGGAAATATCCATTGATATTCTCTTTAACTTGTAAGTAGAAATATGAAAAAGTTACAATGAGAGCCAGTGAAGTAAGTCCGATGAAGAGTTTGTTCTCGTAAATAGTCTATAGCCGTCCCTGTGTTAGTTAATATAATGCTGCAGTAAATGCTCCTCGTGACAGTAAATTATTCTTGCATGGAACGTTTATTTTTACTGCCATAATTTTATGTAATGCTGCAATAAAAAAAACGTGTTTATAAGGGGGTAAATTAGGAAATTTATAATAAATGCATATTGAAAAGTGTGTTTTTGCTTATATAAAAAAACAAACCAACTCATGACAGTTTCTCCTATATTTAGAAACGGAGGGAGTATATACATATTAAATTTTATTTTAAATTATTAATATGTTAAAAATATTTATATTTTATTTAAATTATTCTCTACATTATATTTTTAATAAAATATTATTTTATTACTGAAAATCAACTTAAAATAAAAAAATAAATATTAAATAATTTTATTATGAATATTTTAGTTAATTTTTAAATTTCATTTTTATTTTTAATTAAAATTAATTAAATATATAATAAAAAATCATTGTCAAAAGTTAAATTTTTTTTGCAATATTTGGCTAGGGATAGAATTTCTTACTAAATCTCTCACTAATTATCTTATTTTAGAGAGGGATTAGCAGTCTCTTATTATTTTTCTCACTAATTATCTTATTTTAGAAAAGGATTAACAGTCTCTCGCTATTTTCCTCACTAATTCTCTTATTTAGAGAGGGATTAGTAATCTATCGTTATTTTCCTCACTAAATTTCTTATTTTAAAGAAAGATTAATAGTCTTTATTATTTTTCTCGCTAATTTTAAGTCAAGTTATGAAATCAACATCTCTTGCTAATTGCCTCATTAATTTGATATTTTAAAGAGAAATGAATGATCCCTCACTAAATTCTCTCACTAATTTATATTTTTTTAATAGCGATCATGTTTGATTCCGAAAAATAGATAACAAGGATCTTTAATTGATCTCAAGTGAGAATCTTTCAACACACACACACGTATATATATAACAAATGATTGCGTGGTGCTTTATCCCAAATTCTTATGATATACCAAGCACTCCAGATTGCAATGATTAATTGCCTTCGACCCAGGTCGAAAAAGAAAATTGAGAATCGAGAAGCATCAATAATCGCCATGATACAGTCCGCAAATAGTTATTTTATTGATTTATTTTTAAAGTGTGATAGCTAGGTAGGTAGAGGCTCATATGGTTTCCATCAAAAAATTGAATTGTATGTGAAATGTTGTTGTATATGTGTGTCGGGTTATGGAATTGGGAGGCAAGTAGGAGGTTATTCTAATGAGAGAAACTGAAAGTTGATTGAATTTTCACAACGTGAAAGTGATAAAAATATTTGAGAATCGCGGCGACATGCGAAGTGGTTAGTGACGTATTCCATTATTGCATTCTTATTCTTTTAAGCCTATAACAAATGCCTTTATCACTCTCCCGTCGACCATGCGTGTAAGCAAAGATTAGCGCTCTGAGTCTCATGCACTATCCTACAAAAGAGCCTCTCCAGCTATCACATTAATTGCTTCAAATCCGATATATATATATATATATATATATTCAATTTGATTATGTCATCATAACACCTTTAATTTTTTTCCCCCTTCATGTTCCCTTGGATCATATGGCTACTGAGTTGGTCAGGTGCATGCACACAAATATACATTTGGCATACTCAACTACATATTAAATATTGGTTTTTCTTTTAGCTGGGACGCTGAAGAAGTTCAGAAAGAAACAAAAATGAGGGAGGAAATTTTAGGGTTCCTTTGCGGTGGTGGCATGCACGTGTGTCAAGTGTCAACAAATTTACAGCAGTGGTCTCTCTTGGCCACATTTTAATAATTTGGACATACTTAAGACTCGACTTTGCTGGTAGATAGTGATTATAGGGCAGTTGGTTTAAGATTGAAAAAATGATTTTGATAAGCCAACCAGTGTTCTCCCACCAACGTCCTCACGCACACGCACACGTTCATTAAAATCACGTTTTATTTTATCGCCCTTGTTTTTTTTTTTTTTGGATAATCCAGAGTCCATGTGAGAGTGAAGGTAATCCAGGAACTCAACGAAAGGTCAACCAAGTTTAATAAGAGATATTAAATTAATAGTTTTCATTTCCCTTAATTATTTGAACTTTTTCTTCACAAAACTCCTAATAGATAAGTTTTAATGCTTGATTTAATTGACCAATAGCCATATAACCTAGTGACATAAGCTCTCCTTTATAAATGGGAGGTCATGAATTCGATCCCTGTTTAAGTTTTAATACACTAGTTAACTTAGTTTCTTGGTGATAAGTGCAAGGACGAATCCAGAAGTCATCATGTAAGGAGCTAAAATTGAAAATTTATCTAAAAGTAGGAGAAGCTGAAATTAATTTCAATATTTTTACAAATAAAAATATCCATGCATGTTCATAAGGAATACTTTGAAAGATGGGGGGAATCACCCATACATGCCACCCTAACTTTGTCATAGGAGAAGTGAAACGGTGAAAAATGTATATACCTGACTTTGTTTGCTTGAGAATATATACTCTCTCCATAGTGCCGGGGGCTTGGTGGGGGGGGTCTAAATCTATGAATTTTACCTTATTTTTTACATTATAATTTTTTTACGGGTTCACCAACTATGAATTGGGAAAATTATGCTAATTAATGGACAAATTAAAAGGAAATCCAAATCTAAATGAACGTTCAAAAATTTAGCAATTAAAAATAAAATAAATAAAGATCATGTTACTATAATAGTGCGGGTCAAGAGTTTGGGCTTGCGAATAATGTATGGAAATATGTCGGATATTTGAAGTTTAGACGGACGTGGATATTGACGTCAAGGGGTGGATGATCATCCAAAGAATTGCACGTTTCAGGTGCAGCGCGTGAACACACCACCGATATGACATCTGCACTTTCACTCCGCATCATAGAGAGCGCGTTAATTGCCGCCACCGTGGGACAGAACCCGCTGAGGTATAACAACATAAGTTAATTAAATAAAGCGCATTTTCACCCATTTATTTGCGTGTTCAAACTTGGTCGCTGAAATTTAAGTGGAGTCTAATTTGGGAAAGAGAACAGGAATAAATTGAAATCGAAATGAATTGAAATTTCAACAACACTATTACAAAAAAAAATTGTGAAAAAACATTTATTTCTTCACCCAAGATCGCTTTTTTTCAAATGTATTATTTTAGAGACAAAACGTTTCCATGTATGTTATCATTTTTTCTTGTTAAGTTGTCAATAAATTTTATAAAATTTAAATAGGTTATGTAGAACTTATATGTAACTCCCTCTCTTTGTGTTTGAATTAAACATAGACCACCAAAGCATTCCCATTACAAATGATTTCCGGTGATTTTATAAACATTATATCAAAGCATTTTACGTTTAAAATGCTTTTGATACACTATATACTAGAAAGTTTTTGTATATAAACACTTTGTTATGAACACTATTGAAAAAGTTGAAATTAATGAGAGGCAAATTTATTATTTAAATGACAAAATCCATCACTAATTTACTATTTAGTAATAGAAATTTTTATTACTAAATCTGTAATGCAGCGTTATTAATCTATGCAAAGGAAATGCATTCGTCGCAAATTCTATGAGAGATATAATTCCTATTAATTAATTTATTAATTCTATTATTAAAAAAGCTTATTATATTTGTCACTTTACCTACCAATACCTACATGGCCACATC